AAAATGATGATATTGAAGTCACTTGGATCTTTACATGAAATATATTTGCCGAAACAACGCAATATGTCGCATTTATTTCACACGTTGTTATAATAATATCATAGATATAACATACTTATTAACAGATATATTTTTTTCCGTGAGGGTCAATCGATAAGCAGCACCCACGTTTCTAATAAGAATCAGTCTCCTGGAGAGGCGAATGAACCCATCAAAGTTGTCTATTTCAAGAGACTTTCCGTTCTGTTTATCACTAAAGTTGAAACTTGCTGCTCGGCAGTTGATTCCATATTGATCATCGATTTTATTGTAACTTGCTGAGATTCATTTATGTTCGTTTGCACTTTAGGGGTTCTCTCTGATAATTATATCCGTACCTATTGCGAATTTTTCTGCTATAATACTTCTGCGATGACAAATTATTATTACAAAGTTTGCATTCGTTATAAAAAAGCGTTTTCTCCCCGCAATGGGAACAAAATGAGAGAAAATATCCGAAAGTGGGCAAATTTTTTTATTCTTGAATCATTTGGAAACATGCTATCAGAGTTATAATGATGAAGAAAGCTTTAAAACACCCCGGAAGGTATGCAGGAGATCAGAGGCTTGTAACGCCCCGATTATTATTTCATTATTTTTGTCAGATTTAGATCAAAAATTTTATTGTGAAAGAATATTGATGATATTGTCGGGCGAAAAAGTCAATTAAACTTTTTTTCCTGCAACAAAGGTTTTAAATAAAAATTTCTGTCTTAATGTGTGTGACATTGAAATAGGGCTGCCTCTGCTCTTAGAGCTAATGGAGATCCCGTCCGCTACGAGCGTATTAAAATGGATTGAAAGGAGTCTATTATGACGAAATAATAGGCCAGTACGATTCGGGTCGGGAAGTTTTTACACTTCACCTGTGGGGCTTTTTATGGAAAAATTTGGGCGAACGTAGAAATCGAAAGAAAACCTGCTTCACCCGGATCGTAAAAAAAATATTACGGAGTTCAATTGAAAAGGGAAATGTTACCCTTTCATCTTTGAAAGATATATATTGGTATATAATGATGTTATGACCGACTTCATCGACACACGATAGCTGTATGTAACTTGATTGAGACGCTGCGAGTTCACGCCAAAAGAAACACAAAAAAGTTCTGCCATCATGGTAAATGGAAATAAAACGGTTACACGTCGCTCCATCACTCGCTTCCTCTGTCACAAATCGATCAAATGCATGTTGCATATACGAGTATAATTAGATTGCACGCCATGAAACGTAACATTTCAAAGAACTACAATATTTTACAGCTGTAATCGATACTCCGTAGATTTCCGCACTTCAATAGAGCTGAGAAACTGAAAAACTTCAGAATGTCCAACACATCTCACTCAAAATCATAAAATATAGATTTCTTTGAACATGAAGAAATGAAAATTTCTCAATGGCTACTGCCTTATTGCTTAGATCAGACATGGGTAAAGTTGGAAACTCGGGCGCCTCGGGCTGTATTTTTTCAGTATTTTTTTTAAATTTTGAGTATTTTTTAACAATGCAAAATACATCAATAAAAATATCTATATTTTTTTTTAATTGAAATGGTTACGGCTAGACTCACATAACGATAGCCCCACTCCGACCCAAGTATTGGGTCTCGCCACTCCGACTACCTGCACGATACAATAGCACTCCTTTTTGAGGAGGAGTGTTCCTTCTGCTTGATCATTAGCCTAATTCAGGTTGGGCGCTCGGTGAGCTCCGAGAGCGCTCGCTTTCCCAAGCCTGCTGTACATCAGGGCTCTGCTGTGAAAGAAAGTCGTTCTCCCGACTTCTATTAGTACATACCAAGGAGTAGATAAGCGCCCATTGTATCGGATGAGGGCCTTTATGACCTAGGTCCTTCTTTTCCCCTGAAATCCACAGAAGTGGGGGTAACTCTTAAGAACAGGAAAAGAGGAGAAATGTCGCAGAAGCAAGCGAGAAGCGGGGAAATCAGACAAAAATGGACAATTTGAAATTTTCCTTCCTATCACGTTTTTATTTATTTTGGAAGCTGACATAACAAATAAATTGTAAAAATTGTCTATTCAATTTCAGAGGTGGGGAACAAATTTCACGATGTCATGCTCCAGTGGTCCGGCAATTATTTATTCAAGAAAGAGAATTGATTGGAGCAAAGATCTTAATTGAAGAAAATCCTACAAAAAGAATTATTAAAAAAAAAATATTCATTTTTTATACGTGGAAATAATACGAGCCAGTAGAAAATGCAGATACTGGTTTTTTTCTTTCATATATTGTTCGGAAAGGTCGTTATTGGACAAGTAATTTAAAAAGCAAGTTAAAAAATGTCAATAATTCAGGAAATTAAATTTTTTTATCAATTTCAATTTTTTTCATGGATAATAGTAATTTTACATTTCGCTCAATAAATTAGCAAAATTTTAAGCTATTACCTATCACTATATTTTAGTAACTGTTTTCTCGAATTGCATATCAGGTTCTATATCTGATATGCAATGCAAACATAATACCCAAATGGTGTCTGCATTTCTCAGACCTCTCACCAACAACTTACGCTAATCTGATGACACCACTAATATCAAAAGTGACACCAGCAACCCTAACATGAATACCACTAATAGTGGCACGGGTATCTGAGTAGGTGACAGCCATAACTACTCCCTTCATGGTAGACGGTTCCATGAGTTTCATATCTACCACATGTGCGATCTTTCGGTGCTAGCACCCGTAAGGCTCACTTACGATGTCTTCTCATTTTATGTAAGCGTCTCGGTAACTACTATTTCAGATTTCTTGACTTTTACTAATAGTGGCACGGGTATCTGAGAAGGTGCCATAACTACTCCCTTCATGGTAGACGGTTCCATGAGTTTCATATCTACCACATGTGCGATCTTTCGGTGCTAGCACCTGTAAGTCTCACTTACAATGTCTCTTCTAATTTTATGAAGAAGTCTCGGTAACTATACTATTTCAGATTTCTTGCCTTTTACTTATTGGAAAAGTATGGGGCATGTGAATAAATGCTCTAGGTGTAACAAATGCCGTTTCTCTTTACCACGGTGACTTTTAATTTTATTGGCGCCAGCAGGAGTATGAATAAATGTCATGGTTCATTGACATGAAGGAAGCAGAAATGTGTGGAGGTGTTTCACATGCAAGGAAATAGTATATTGTGCACCAAGGGAGAAAAACAGGACCTGCGGCGAAGCCGAGGGCGGTAAACGTCGCGGGTTTGAATATTCTGTTTTCCTTCCTCGGTGCACATTATTCTTTCCGTCATCACTACACGGAAAAGGTCGATTTTTCTTTGTAAATGACAGGAGAAATGTCGATTGTCATCCCGAAGATTCTCAGAAATAACAGAAATCTGAGGGATAGAATAGCCCACTTTCTTCCCGTCATTTGGGGAGTAAAATCGAACTTTCCGTGATGGAATGTAATTATTCACTATATATACTGGAGCATAGTATTTCGATTTTTGATTTTTACCGTTCGTCGGTTTGATGTCCACACGAGAAGTCAATCATTGGAAAGATAAGAATCGGATATAATTGATTTTTATTCGTTTTTATTTTGTTTTATTATTTCTTTGTCCCAAATTATCAAGCCAATTGTTCACTGCTCATTTCGGATGAATCGTGAGATTCCTCGAGGGATTCATGAAGTCCTTTTACACGATTTTCTAATGGGAAAGCACAGAAAGCTGTGACGTATTTCGTCTTGCGGGGAAGAAGGAACGGGATTACGCAGCCCTCGGCGATCAAATTCAAACGACAATATGTTAGGCCAAGACGTTTTTATTAGAGCGGTCAAAATTTCCCAAATTACAAATGCAAATAAGAAGAGCTGCCAATAGTTCGTCAGTATCAAACGCGGAGACGTGTAGGTTCCTAAAACTCTCCTATCGTGATTTCTGAAATGGCTGGGTAATCTTGCCCTAAATAAATTCCAAAATTGCGAGCTCACAAAATGATTTCATTAAATTATCAAACATAAAATCATTTATAATCCCTGCCTTACTCTCTATGTGGATCGCTTTGTTTTACTCGACAATAAATAAAAATAAAAATAATAAAAATAGACTAAATGCAAACAAATTTTTTTAACGAATATTTTTAACCACTTCCAATCCGTTGACCTCGAAATTCTGATGTCGCTAATGCAAAATAATCAATAATTCCCATGACAATAAGTGATCAGAATAGATAGGAGAGACAAGAGTCGAAATTGAAATATTAGTTAAAACCCGTATAAGATATCAATAAATTAGCAAAAAAAAATGTAAATCCTTCTAGATTTCAATGAATTAAACGAATGAGTCTCCAAAAGTCTAGAAGCTTGGGATATTCGAAAATGACATCATGTGCCATGCATAATGAGTTGAACAAATGAGAGTTAAACTAATAATCTGAAATTAATTCTTTGTCGCTCAGTTCGAGAAGGTAACACGATAGTGACGAAATATATTTTTTCGGTTGACTGTATGGCAAATTATAAAGTTCATTCGATCTAGATCTTGTAGAGAATCATACGAACGAGTGGCTTGTACCATTTTATATTCCTTTCTGTAGGAAAAATTGGGATGTTGATGAAAAACAATAATAAAAATAACACAATTGTAAAGAAAGAATTTATTATATTATCTCATATTTCCAACATGGTCTTTCACTAATATCTGAACATATCAATTTTTCCAAAGATATTTTTTCCGTGTATTCGGCGATAATACCAGTGAAATCTTATTAGCACTCTCGAAAAAGTCAACGAATGCACAATGAGAGATCTAATAAAGTCATTATTGATATCGGGGGCATGACTTAGTCCAAAAGGTGGATGGATTGAGGAAACATTTATCGAGTAGAATTCCCGAAAAAATAGCAGAAAAATGCGGGACGTACAATAGACTGGAACACAATTAGCTCTCTGCTACCCCTTTTACTCTTTCCGGATAGTCTATAGTTTTCATCAATTGGTTTCGTTGCAGAATGAAGTAATGGCCGTCGCCCTGAGCAGTCTTCTCAGCGAGAGCAACCTACCTCTACCAGAACTTTCATCACTGTAAGTATATATATTTACATCATCGCGGCCGGTAAAAGGTAGACCGTAAGGTGTAGGAGTTAAGTGACCCGAGTGTAGCTAGGTACAAAGGGTGGAGAACCGGCTTACAAAGCTACCTGTTTAGACGAAGCTCTCTGTGTCGTACGTGTCACCAAAGATGGCACGAATAATCTTGCTCATGTTGCTAACTGCAGCAAATTTAGATGAAGCACTTCAGAATAGACAGATAATGAGATAATGTTGTCCAGAGATAATTTTTTTTGTAGCCTAATGTTATTCTTACATCGGTGGCCGTGTTTGCATCGCAATTGGAGTTACTGCAGACGATGCATTAATTGGATATATTGAATACATTGGTTTATTATTGAAGTGACAAAATCTATCGCCAAATATGCTTATAATGTAGAAGATCTCAGTTATACTATATACTATACCTGAGTTGTGTCATAGGCGCCAAATTGTAATGATGCCAGTAGTTTATTGCCATTGAGTACTATTGACAGCATAAATATAAAAAGAATAAATCGTGTCTTCAACCCTTTTTTCCGATTGTCGCATACTGACTAACTAGCTCTTCATTTGCGCTCGTCCCTAAATATAAGATAGGTGAGCCCTATCACTGTCTTATGCATTCACTCCATCACTCTATCATGGGCGATTAATTTCCCTGCAGACCCAAGCGTGCTTATTTTTCCTTCCTTCCGTAATTCCCTCTGCTAAGAGATGAGTATTGGTTCGGAAACCTTCGGAATCATCTGCGATCCCATCAGCTCAGTTTTGAACTGGAATCCGACTTGTGTATCTCCTCATTTGCAATACTATTTTGTCTTTCACCTTATTTATGTTCTGCTGGAACGTACCAATACGGAAAAAAAAGAATATTTTCTGTAAATCATGATCCACTTGCATCCCAGTGTGCAGTTTTCAATTCAGATGCGTAATTCTTTTATGAGATATACGTGTCATCTACTAGTTACCGCTTCAAAATTACGTTTTTTGTCCCTAGAGAGAAACTGCTATACAATGTGGAAACTGAAGAAAATTACAATTTACTGGAAGACATCTGGGAGACACTGAATGATTTCTGTGGTGAGTAATGAGCATTAATTGACTATTACTGAGAGTTTCAATTTTCATTTATTTGGTCACCAAACTGCAGTGAACTTGGATAGCGTAATGTAGTATTTCTGTTACCAATCATCCCGCGGACTTTTCTCAGGCCATTCCATGGCTTACTTCTATGAAATTAGTCACCAGCAGACTGGAAGTAAACTCTCAAGACTTGAAGTGACATTTGCATATATATAACTTTATATAATTCATTGCTTATTTTTTCTACTCGAATTGGTCGAAGGATATTGAAGAAGGATGAAGGATAATGATCCATCGTTGATAACATCATCTTTTCTGCTGCAATTGCCTGAATCTGTAGCATTCACCCCGTCTCGTAAAGATTTGATCTTTGACCAAAAGACTATGGCCCAGAGACCGCCGTGATTTTTAGCTATCATTGAGAGATTCAATAGACATTTAGATAAGACCAGAGAACCGTACTGGTCACTGATAAAAACACTATCATATATCAAATGTGTATTTGAACAAAATTAAAGCATTAATTGATTTGACACTCTTTTTATCTCCTATAATTCCAGACATAGATATCTGCATTTTGCTGGATCAATTAGGCCAAGAATTGATAGCAACTGCCTGTGTGGGACTCCTCGAGAGGGCATTTCGCTGCCTAGGGAATGATCTTACTGCATTTCTAACAACCCTCGATGGCGTGAACGATGTCGTTCAACACCAATCCGGAGTAGACACTGAAGCAGAATTTGTTTGCATTGCCACACCCGAGGGACTTGAGCTACACTTTACCACTGACCACCCGTCTATCGCATATCTCTTAGTCGGCAGTCTCAAAGCTATCGCCAGGATATTTTATAATGATAATGCTGACGTTTATATCCTACCTGATCCCTACAACACTAAGTTTTTCAGGTAAAATTTGACTCCATAACTTAAGAAAAAGAATCGTTCCATTAAATTTCCTTGAAATTATAACAGTCTACAATTTATTTTGCAATTTTAAAACACGAGCAGGTTGACCCGTATAGAGTATTTTGGTGATTTCATGGGTTAAGATTACAAGTTCGACCGTTCTTATTTTTAACCATTGAGAGTGTACATTGACGTTGGGATGTAATTTCATGCAAGTATTCTTACCGGTAGTTTAAAGCGGTGTTTATTAATGTACTAACAGCGCGAGGAATGATGCTCCATCAGAGTTTCCCTACTGATTTTTAATAATCATTAGGACGTCAGTATACCAAATTATTGGTCCCAATATGGCTATCCAATTATCTATCAATTCCAGTGCTCAATAATTACAAAACTGGTGTCCGGTGAAAATAGTTTTGCATGGTTTTGTCTCATTCATTTATGTCCTCTTCTATCCCTCTACTCTGGGACCAGTGTGCAATCATTGACAAATATCCAATCATTATATTTATAAATTTGGTTAGTAGGCAGCATCATGTTTAATATTTTCGTTTCAATAATTAGTTATTATCAGATCAACTTACGCTAAATTGAGAAAATTAATGATGTCGTGAAATTGATTGGTGAGGGTCAGAATATTCCTGCACCCAAGATAAAATCCGAGATACGATCAATGTATGGGAGGAGAATTTCTAATGGGGATTTTTGGGTTACTCAAATATTTATTCGTCATCCGCCAACTCACACGAGTGATAGATTATTTTCCTCTCAGTCCTTGAAGGAGATTTAGAATTTCAAATAGTTGAGCCAGCGATATTGAAGCAAACTTCGGATTACTTTCCTCATAAAGAGATGCAAATATTTTTCTTCGACAGATACCGCATTACGCCGGAGGGCTATGAACCATTGTTACTACAAGGGCCGCCTTGCGAAGATGACTTTGATGTTGTGACAGCAGGACCTCATCCTTTATCCACAGACGCCGCGGATCTACGGATGGGAGTTGCCAGTATCTGCAAAGCATTCCCTTGGCATTTTGTCATAGACAGAAATTTAGAAATTGTGCAGCTGGGTGTTGGCTTCATGCGCATTTTTGGTCACAATCTCAACAGACACGGACGTCAAATATCGACGTATTTTGTATTCAGCAGGCCACCAGGTGTTACGCTATTGTTTCATGAGATTCTTAAACGTTCAAACACACCATTCGTATTAACATTGCAGAAGCCACCGGGGGCCGATAAATTTCTAGCCGAGGTGAGTGATTTTTTAAAGTTGTTATTCAATTACTGAGTCGAAGTATTTAGAGCTGAATGAATGAATTGCACTGAAATAAATGAAATTGCAAAAAGTACGGCCGCTGTAGGTTCTTAATGAAATACATTTTTAACAATAAAGGCAATTTTTATGCATGATTAAGAATTGGAGCGATCATTCGTAACGATCTTAATGAAGGTGGAAAGAATTTCCTAGATTTGTGTTATACATTGATGAAGCTAAGGCACCAAAAAAGTCGGTTCGCTGAAAACTGGAAAATATCCAAGAATAAATGACCGTTGAGGTAAGATATTAGACTGAACAAGGAGCAAAAAATAATTTTAAAAATTTCATAACTATCTAGAATGGCATTCATAGTTAGAGATCAATATTTAAGAAACGCAGAGATGGCAATCACTCTCTATGAAATGTATGTCAAGCAACTAACTGCAATGGCCAAATGGTTAAGGTATCAGACTCCGTACGGAAAGTCGGGAGTTCAAACCCTAGGGGTAGTCATTTCTGACGTTTTTAATTTTTCGGTTTTATTATCGAACGGAAGTCTCCTACGAAGAATTAATGTATCTGACTGAAGGGTGAGATTTTTCCGTGGTACATGAATGAATGACGGCGCAGTGGGAGGTGGTGGGATGGGGCTCGTAAAGACCCGCAAGGGTAGTGAAAGGTAATGTGTTATTAGATCGATGTTAATCACTCAATACTGTGATTGATCCGCTTTCATGACAGCTCTGCTATGACTAGACGCTGCAGTCGCCTTCCAACCAGTGCCAACCACAATACCAAACTGATATTTAAGGGCAGTTTAGGTGTTCATCACGTGTTCATCACGTCGAGCGTTGTAGTACTCAAGTCTCCAAATGCACCGTTGTTCGTCTAGAACCATTGAAAATGTGAAGATTCGATAGCAATCTGAGATTTAGTGAGGACTGTATAAATGCCACATCGATTTACCAATTGCCAATTTAATTGACTTAACGATGAGAAGATGATTTGATGCAATATAAAATAGAATTAAAAATGAGTTTGGAATATCCAATAACTAAAGACTGCCTTGTTAATAGAATCATTTCTCATTCGGAATTCCAGAAACATGCTGCAGTGACTCTGAAATATCAAAATACCACGTTATAGTACATATTCTTTTTTTACGTACGGCGCGTTTTTATGAGTCTGTCTTTCTCCTTCCAACGTTCTTTTATAGACGACTTTCGTTTCAGGGTTTAGAGCTGAAAGGTCAAATGGTACACTGTCAAGAATCGGATTCAATTCTATTTGTCAGTTCACCGTTTCTTAATGGACTGGAGGGTCTCACTGGACGGGGTCTCTTCATTTCAGATATACCACTTCACGACGCAACAAGAGATGTGATACTTGTTGGTGAACAAGCACGAGCGCAGGTAACGATAACTAACTGTGGAAAATTGATACCAATGTCTTCTTGATACTCTTTTACAGATTAAAAGTAGCTCCTTAAGAATGGATTGACAATAACCATCCATTTTAAGATATATCAGTTAACAATTTCACTGGTGATAAATCTGGTTGCTATGAAAATATTTAAAAAATGTAAAAAGTTGGATTTATGAGCCGACCGCTGTTTGATTCTTGAAAATTATGAACCACAATAGCCAATGCGGAAGATTATCAGGACAATTCAATTGTTTCGGCGTAGTAAAGCCAAAAGATCACTAAAATTCAAGAGAACAATGCTGAGTGTATGAATTTCTCAGAAGTAAGATTTTAATAAAGGAGATTCATTCGAGTCAAATTGAGCTATCAAGTTTTTACATTGAAAATTCAAATATTGAATTTATATTATCACAAAATGATGCACTATATTTTGAGATACGAGTTAAAAAACAACATTTGCTTCCGTTCATCACGCGGTGACGACTACTCCTTTTTCAGCAGTATAATAAATTGTGCCCGATAAATGTAAGAGAACATGTGGGACTTGATAAAGGGGAAGGGGAGTTGACAAAGTAAACTGCTCGAAACTAATGTAAATGTCAAAATGGAATTTAGTCTAACCAAGCGCCTTTGTGGTTTCACTTTGAGAGCTGGAACTGTATTGTCCTCGCAACAACGTTATGGAAATGACCGAAAAAAGTTTTGATGACCGACTGAACGCAGCATCGGATCGAGTGCACTGGGCATTTCTACACGATCCACGTTGAAACGTTTGAGCGGCACTAAAAACTATAAACGTCAAATGGAAATTCCAATAAAGTACGTGGCATAATTGTTGTTTTCGTGAAAAAGGTTTTCAGGTGTGAAAGGAATTTAATTAAATAGACGAACGGGATCGATAAAAATACTGTTCTACGGCGAGGTTGGCAGTAAAATCTTGAGGAATCCGAGTTGGATATCTATCGGGTATCGTACGAGCGGTAAATCCATGGCAATCTCTACCGGATCCTAGATCTACCAATTTTTTCGGCATCAGGTGTAACGAAGAAAATCTTTTATCACTTTCGGCAATTGGTGCTGTGTGATATTTATGAACATGACTTGATACGGATATTTTTATGTTTATTCTATTGGAAACTTCCATCCGGCTTATATATTAATGAACATTCAGCAGGAAAGTCAATTAAAAATGAGGATGTCCGTAAAATATTAATTGCTGAAACGATATTGCATAATGGTACACCATGAATTACAGCGTCGATAATCCAGTTATTCAAACCAACAGACAATTACGGTTTATTTCCAGTGAAGATCGACACCGATGATCGGTTTTTCAACATTCAGATTAACAGACCACGGAGTAAAACCCTTGTGAGGCCGAAATAGAGGGCAGTACAACCGTACGTATGTATGCGTGTGCGATGTGCTGCATACAGTTTATACTCCATTTGTTCGTTTTTGCCTGAGGCAAGAGTCTGTATATATATGCACAAATCCATGTCAGTATCAATCCGGTATTTGAAATTTGTGATAATTTCAGAATTGAATACTCATTAAAAGCAAAAGATTGAATCGTTGAACAGCGTTAAAGATCTAACCATGCGTTTTCCACAACACCTAATAAGGAGCTGTGTACATCGGTTGATCTTGTCATCGAATTCGTGATGGTAATACCAGTGATTATGTTATTGTACACGTCATGTGCTTAAGTGGAAACTGTTTTCGTTTTCATTTCCATTCAAACTCACTCTAAAAATGTTTGAAAGTGCAAAAATTATGGAAAAAATGTTCGTGATACAGGAGCTCAACGAAGCAATATAATGCACAAAACTCACACGCAGTAAGGAAAACCGCCAAGATTGAAGGTTTCTCGGGCGATTGAAGAGGAATCATGTTATACAGGAATCACTTTGATTAAAAAATAAAAAACGATCATATTTTTACTTATCGAGTCGCTAATACATTAAATGAATTGTCAACCAAAATTTAGTGCATTGCTCTAAATCTTCACATAGCAACCGAATTTGTCACCGAAACCTCTAAGTAGAGTGGCAATATTCAGTTGCCCTTATGCATCCCGTAAATGGTGATTGCTTCGAAAATTTTCTTAAAAATTTGAATCGTTGCACACTTACTTTCAGCAAATACATCTGATAATTACATAGCCATTCTTCATTTGTCTCTAACGAATCAAACATTTCGGTAGTAGTATCCGCATAGTGTGCTTCCCTTCGCTGAATTAAATTCGAGGAAATAAGCCAGCGAATATACCTTCATTTGCCAAATTTATCGGAATGTTCCTTTCATATTTTCTTGAAAATAGATTAATGTGACAATATTAACAGAAAAATTGTTCGCGCTAGTCAAACGCCCTAGAAAATGATCGCCGAGAATAATTACGCAACTGGCTCTAAAATTGTTTGCGACTAATGACAGGAATTTTCGATTCATGAAACATCACCAGTCATCTCTAAATGTTGCATGTCACATTTAATCCCTCGCTATATATTCCCTAGAAGAAATGAGAAAACAAATAAAAAGCAATGACTCATTTGATGAGGTCAGCATAATTTGCGACGAATTTCGTATAAATATAAAATATATTATGTAACATGGTTAAATATATATTCTCTGTTTTCCGAAAAATTAGGATGGCTTAAGACGTCGAATGGACAAATTGAAAAGTTCTATTGAAGAAGCAAATCTCGCCGTTGATGCTGAAAGGGAAAAAAATGTTAGTCTACTACATCTAATATTTCCACCGGATATTGCCAAACGCCTATGGCTGGGTATGAAATAATTAAATTAGAAAGCCCCTTCTCCGTTGGTAGTCTCTAGTGGTGCGAGCAAAATTCTTGACAAGTCAGATGATGATCTTGTGGCCGTCAGTGACTCGTCATATTACCGACCCACGCATGACCATTTATTTTCAAATGACAAAAATGTGATCGATGACACCTAAAACTTTATTGAAAAAGCTACGTGCCCTTAGTCAAATATTATGTAAAAATCACTCGTTCTGATAAATCAAATTCTTACTGACTGAAAAACCTGACGGACGATCACGTAGCAAAGCTCAATAAAAGATGACGAAATTTTGTGTCAAAAAAGAAAAAGACGGTCACGTCGCATCTCTATAGACAATTTATAAGTGACCAAATGTTATCTAACCAACTTCTCGACAACAGATAGCATAGCTCACTTTAATGATAACCTGACGGTCATATTTCGGTTACCTGAGAGTTTTTCATTCATGGCATCATCTCGCATCTCTAGTCAGACCACATTGTACAAACTTCCTATAGATACGCTGATTATCACTTTACTCTGATTACAACAATATTCACCTTTGATCCTTGCACTTCAATTTTCGCTTCTTCGTTTTCGAATTGTTTGATTGATACGGTTCTGTAATTACCAAGGTTAATGGTAGTTACCATTGGAAATGAGATTACTTAAGGTAATTAGTTAGGTGGGGTCAAAAATAATTTTTTAATGGAAAAATTGATCGTTCAATGTAATTACGTTGGTTGAAGGTTCGAGAGAACTACGTATAAAATTTTAGCCTACGCCTTAGGAGAATTGTCAAAATAAAATCAATCCCTGAACTTGCCACTTATGCGTAAATGTAAATGGGACGGGAATAATTTCGGCACTTCTTCTATAATCCCCAATACAGGAAAAATGCAGAGATTATCGCCGTTTCATTCAAGTGGACGCATAAGTGGCAACTTCAGAAATTATTAATATTCTTACAATGTTCCTAGGTATTTTTTAAACCTTCAAAGAACATATTCACAAAAATCATCAATTTTTTTGCCCACTCGTTAAAACTTTTCCTATACGCAAAGAAATATCCAAAAAAGATTATGTGCTTGTTCTGTAATCTGCGAGTCAAAACACCATTCAGTGAAAATTATGAAACAGTGACGGACTTTTTCATTGAACTTTCCATACTTTTTCCTGAAAGTTCAGTGAAAAAGTCCGTGACTATTCCGGAATTTATGACTGACTACTGTTCTGACTCGCAGATTTCATTGAGTATTTCTCTCCGTGTGACCACGCCATAACTACCTTAAGGCTTAAGCCATGTTTAATCAAGATCTTCGAAAACAGTTCGAGAAGCGATTATCGCACGGCACGCGCCAGATTGATGGCTAGCACGTGGGGCTCGTAATATGTTTTCCAGTGCGTGGCATAGACAAAACTTTATCAGGCACTTGGAAAATACCAATCTTACAGCGCAGAGCACCAGGAAATTGGTATTTTCCAGTCGCTTTCCCAGAAATCGATATTTTTCGGAGTGTCGCGATGCGGGATTGATTGCTTATATGTCCATTCCGTACTAGTGAATACAAACTCCCACACCAACAACCCAGATATATCCTACTTCTCCTTAAATTCAACGAGGTCATTTGTTAATTATGATGACATTCTAGTTTGCACTTCTATTTGAGAACTCCATTATTATTTCGTTGAAAACGATCAATGATAGTTTAATGTTTAAGAGTTGCAATTATTACAATGACCTGTCTTCCTGTGTTACTCAATGACAAATGCACTTATACATCTAATAATCGATTAATTAGTAACTTCATTGAAATATCATTCAATAAAGGTGAAACTATCGAGGCAAAAACCTATCCTGATGTGACGATGTTGTTCAGCGATATCGTTGGATTCACCGCTATTTGCTCAACCGCAACACCCATGATGGTCATCAATATGCTTCAGAATCTGTATGAGCGATTTGACCAATTTTGTGGGCAATTGGATGTCTACAAGGTAATGTAAACTAAACGAATAGTGATTCGAACGGATAATATTATTGACGGATCATTGTATTTACTCAGTTCACTGTGATTGCCAATCATTCACTTTCTATTGAACCGATTGATTGTAAGATATTCGCAGGGCACAACTGACATTTATATATGCTAGAACATGATATTGTTATGTCATGTTTGCCATTAAATATTCATAATAATTATGAAATAAATAGTGCGAAACTCTTAGTAGTAGTTTCTTTTGGGTCTACCTTTCGAAAATAGCTTGGGAATAAAAATTGAATCCATAATTCCAATTTTCCGAAATTATTGAAGTCAAATCTAATCAGTCAAACAAATTTTCGGTTATCTTTGCACGAGTCAAATTTCGACCACAGTTTTGTAGTTCTTTTCCTCAATTACTTAAAGTGATGTAGTGCATTAAAAATCTCAGTTTTTCTGAATTAATCCTTTTGCGTATGCATAAATAAAACAAAAATAATGATTAAAAAAAACTCAACTCGTCAATTTTTCCGCAGTTTCCTTTGATGTTATCCTAGTTCAGTGAATTTTTTGTTGCTTGATGATTTCCAACACTGATCAAATGTTTATCACTTCTTAAATGTTTTAAAATGAAATAACCTTAATTTCTAGTCAGTAATACATTTTATATATTATACTTAGAACTTTATAAATCGCGGAACTGAAAACACGAAAGAAATCGCGGAGAAAGGAATTCAGAACTGGTTGGACTGAGAGATCCTTCCCTCACTACTGCTATTGACGGCTACGATCGATGAATACTGACTCCTTCCTTGCTATTACGCACAATACTCTTTGGCTGCCTCGCTGTACTCCTTTAACTTGGATTTTTGTATTATCTTAATTCATGCATGTATCTGAATTAGGTTGTGGGGACCTCGTACGATGTCGATGCACCAGGTACAGACACCTGAGCCTCCTTCTGATAACGCACTTGGAGACAATTCAAAGGGTCACACATAATCACGTGATTGCTACATTACAATTTATTTATTAATTTTCACCCACCTCTCAGCCTTTGACCCCTGACCTACCATCACTAACTGAACACGGCGAGTGATTTTTCCGCCGCTACTCTTCTGTAGCAATTCAGAATAATAATGTACTTGAATTTAAAATCACTTACCCGACGTGTCATCAGCCACAGCAGGGGGGAGGGGGGCGAGGGTCGAGAAAATTCAGGAACACCAGAGTTTACTTCAATACCGTTGCTCGATGTATTTATCTCCTTGTCCCCACACCTCCCCACTTCTCTCATTTTATTTTTTTTTAATTGAGAGGATACGAGTGTTTTTTAAAAACTTTTTCGGGTTGACTAAACTATACATTTACCGCGATACGTTTCCCGACGTAATAATATCAATTATGAAGAATATTACATTATAAATATTACCCATATTAAGGAAGTCTAAAATGATAGATTATCTACAACATAAGTCCAAAAAATTTAATAAGTTTCGGAAAGGAGCGCGACGAAAATCATGAATTTATTGTTTTCATAAGGAGTTCATTGCGGTCGGTGGTAACTGCGACGATAAAAATTTACATAACGGAGGAAAATAGGAAATATTATGTTATTAATATAAATATAAAATATCAATTTATATTAGACTAAGGAAATTGACGTGGCGGTTCCATAATTTTTCACTGGAGATTCAGCCAAAAATTACCTCCGCAGTTACGGAAAAGATACGTAATTTTTATAGAGTATTTCTCTTCGTGCGTGTATTGCCGACCTGAGACGAAGTCGAGGGCGGTAAACATGCCGGTTTGAATATTTTGTTTCCCTTCATCGGTGCATATTGTTCTTTCCGTCATCACTACACGGAAAAATTCGATTTTACTTCACAAACCATATATGCCATATGGCTTGAAAAGTATTTCTCTGATGCATTGAATCATAACGCACGCAGAACCTGCACAAAGGACATATGAAACTTATGACATATATTACTATGGTAGAATGGTACATGCAAAAAAGGGTGAACGAAGTTACTGATCGGGATAATCCACCTCTTTCGTGGAATATTACATTTTTTTCAGTGTTTACTTTATTTTTTAATGCTTCTTTATGATGCCATCGGCATATTTCATTAGTGGTGTTGATGACGGTACTCGGTGATATCACTTTCTGGCGTGTCTAATTATCAAGCTGAAGAGAATTTGTGTTAAATAGTGGCTGCCATGATCAGTGAATGTGCGCGGGAGAATTGGATGAAAGGTACACACAAAAATTACCAATCGTAAAATAAAATAGAGTATGAATTTTCTGATTACGTAAATAAAAATTTGAAAACGTAAATTACGATTTCATAAACATAATTTGCGATTTCAAAAATCTAAATTATCATTGTAAAAAATGTAAATTACCAGGGTATTTTGTAAATAACGAATTGTGAGTTCATAAATTACAAATTTTTAATCGTAAAATGTGAGTGGCAACCACATGATTGACGTTTCCTTTCCCGACATTCACAGATTAAAATCGTAAATACAACGATGGATATAAAAAAAATTTTTCGGCGGTATATAATTTTTAGGTTTAAACAGATTCTCAGTGATCTGAGCACGACTAAGGGCAGACATTTTTTCAAAATGCATCTAAGAGAATTTTGAAAATTTAAAAATTGTTGAAAAGTGAAAAAATATTGACAATTTGGAGAACATTGCGAAAATCAAGATGGCAAATTATTTGTTCAGTGACTTGCTATTTACTAATACTATATTGTCAAGACTTCCTATTTTCAACATTTTTTTATTTTCCAAAATTTTTTCGGAAAAATGGGAAAAAATTTGCATGAAAGTCATCCTTAGATGCAACACGTAAACATTCGATATCGTTCAAAAATTTTTGTTTTTATATTAATCGTTCACATAGAAAATATTAATATACCACCACTTTACACACTTTTATGCACATTTTATGCATAACGATGGAGAGTTTCAGCAATATAGAAAAATGTCTTCGTATGTATAAGTTATGATCAATTAATGTAGGAACTATGCACAGTAATAGTATACAATATACTATTAGCTCTAGCCTCTAGGGAGTAAAGTATTTTCTGATGAAATATGAGTTTATAATCATATGAGTCAGAAAATACTTTATTTCCGTGAGACACACGATATTTTATTCTCGTTGGGACTGGAAACTGCGATCTAACCGAGCGAAACAAGATTAAAATCGTACTTTTCAGTCCCTAGGGGGATAAAGCATAGTTTTTGCAATTGACTCAGTATGCGTATCCGTTCAGCAAAAATCCCCATAAAGCCACAAAACTGCAATGATAGTCATTCATTTATTTGAAACTTATTCATTAATATTTCGGTAATACGCTATTATGGTGGCTCATGCTTTCAACTTTTTCATATCATGAATTTTTTTCCATTTGAAGTATATCCGCCGTAGGTAAATATCCTTAGTGCCGGAACTGAGTAATAATTAATGAATTCCACCTCTTTGACTGATCCCACTTGTTTTGGTGGATGAGCATCTAGTTTTTACGGATCTACATATACGTATTCTATGGATAAATATTCACATTTCTTGTATAGAGTGATTGCGTATATATACACAAGTACATAAAGCTTGCGTCAGATTGTGTAAAATGTTCTTAGTGTTTTTTGTGTGTTGCATTTACGTCTTTTCTACAATGTCAACAAATTGAGATCGTAAATGACGGGAACGGAAGCGTAAATCATGAGGTCGAACATTTGTATTTTACGACTTAAAACTTGTAATTTACGATATCCAAAGTTGTCATTTCCCGAATGAAAATTATATCAGGCGAGCCTGAGGTTTAATCAGAGTATGATGACGGCGATAAGTTTCAACCCATCAGACACGACTTAATAAGGAACTAATCAGTCTTTGATTTTCTCTACCTGATGCGTATTACTCGGATCAGATTTTGATTTAGTAAACTTGAGCAAAGCTTTACGTTTGTTGACCTGTAAACACTTTGAGCAATTTCGGATTAGGTGGGCCTGAACTTGAACTGAGGTCTCTCTGCCTACAATTTACGGTGTTGAAGTCGCAATTCCCGGGGTGGGTACTTGTAATGCTCGAGGTCGAAACCGTACTTCAACAAATCATAAAGAACCTATTTTACATTTTCAAATTCATCATTTACGTTTCAAATTTCTATTTTTCTGTGTGTATATGTTATGTATACTATCCGTTTTGGAGGAAATTTTTTCTTGTAAAATGACATCGAGAATTATTCTGTCTCCCTTCCTACTTAATCCAAAATCCTTTGCAATGATTTCATGTGACGTCACAAGATGTGGAACGCTATTAAAACTCTCCCTCTGCAATGAATTTTATGATTTGTTTCAAATGTTGCGTTTCCTGTGGGTATATGTACGGCTGATGCTTACCATCATGGAGACAAATGGCATGACGCGACATTTTTATGAACGCACTTCGTGCTGATCGTTGCAAGCTATTATTGATGACACTAACAATCAACCTTGACACAGAGATTTTCAATTTTTGTTTTGCAATGAGAAGATTTTATGTTTTATGATAACTCACGACAGCTATTTTTGGCTGGCAATTCCAAAGAGGAAGAATCAATGATGATGAAATGAATAATGGAATAAATGAGTGACTGAGAAAATGAATAATTGAGTCAATGAATGATGAAAAGTTCGTTAAAAATTAGAGCGTATACCAGTTAATATTACCGATCTGTAAGCTATTCTTCTCTTTTAAATTTATTCTTCTTTTGGAATTTATTATTCATTTGAGAGTGAATTATTATTTGAACTGTTTCAACTCACTTATTCCATTAACGGTAGTGGTGTTCATATTAGTATAATAATGCCAATTTTGATTGTGGATTACGGCAATGTACGGTAAAATCTCATAAAACTGACTCTAAGGCTTGACATATTTATAATTGACATTGATTCATATTGCTCACTAAGATAAACTATCATTTAATTGATGATTGTCTATATGACAATTGAGTTCAAACCCTTATCGATTTTCAGGTCGAAACAATTGGCGATGCTTACTGCGTCGCGTGCGGCCTTCATAGAAATACGAACACACACGCCCAGCAAATAGCTTGGATGGGTCTGAAAATGATTCAAACATGTTCACAGCATTTGACGCACGAGGGTAAACCTATAAAGGTAAGCCTTACAGCGCATAAACACATACTGCTGGTAATTGCATTTGAAAACTCTTTCATGTTAGCCATCCAGACATGAAATAAAAGTCTTCGTGATGTTCATTCACACAGAAATATAAGAACATCGGGTCATAATGTAGATGGCTGTCCAATGCACAGCATCCTCCAGACATGAGCAGTCCGCAGGCAGCTCAAAGCAGGGCTCGAATTAGGAATCAAATAAAGTTGATAATCATTCCATCATATATTTCGTCACTAGGCCGTTAAGAATTTTTCGGGCAATGTTGAGTTTACAGTCCGAGGCGAAGCCGAGGAACGCGAGCGCAATCGCCGGAATAGTTCATTTCGGCCGACTGACGAACAATATTTTTTGTCATTCAGTCCATAGGCAGGATTTCGTCGCTTCATGGACGTCGCTTCTTGGACTGAGTGATAAAAATTATATTATGGTACGAGCGTAGTGAGGACAATAATGGGGGTCTCGCAGTTACTGTACGGGGAAGCGTCCCATAAAGCGTCCGTCAAATGAGAAAGTGAGAAGAATGGTCGCCCCAATTAATGAAATAGTATATTTGCACAGTGTGTTAGGATGGGGTTTTTACTCGTGTGGAGTTTGGCGAGGCGGCCAACCACACGAGTAGAAAAACTTCATCCCAAAAGTCCGGATATTATTTTTCCATAGTGATTTTCAAGTTTTCGAGCTTGCGAAGTATGTAGTACCCATTCCCAGATTCCGCATCGTCAGAAGTAATACGAAAAATGAATTGAAAGATGAAAACTCAAGGACGAATCTTTGTACAGGGAGGTGTGAGAATTCCCTATATTGTTGTTGTTGATGTTAATATTGTTCTGATTCGGATTTCAAAAGATTTGTCTACTTTGCCTTTTGCATGTCCTGTTTCCTTAAAGAAGAAAGATATTGACCTGCTTGGTGATTATTTGAATAGGAAAGCAGAGAAGAAAATGTGAAATATACAAATAATTGAAACAGTTATGATTAATTGCAATCTGTAATTTTAGCTGTGCAACTTTTACCGAAATGCCTTAGCTTAATTTGAAGCTATAAAATCGCAAAATGATACATTCAATAGTCTGACAAATTCAGCAACGTGAAATATGATACGTCATACAATTTTCAATTCAACTAGCTTGGTAGTGATAGAAATTTTTTTTTATTTTTCTTTGAAGCTATTTAGAACCTTCATTCAAGTAGGAATCTAACATTTTCATAAAAATGACATTGTCAATTCAATTATTTTCTCGGGTACAAAGCATATTTTGAAAAGTCCAAATTATTAATCGCCGCGCAACATGACGATGAGGCGAGTAAAAATGTTATTTCTGAAAAATAATGGGTTTATCCTAAAAATAGTTCACTCCTATGGTAATATTATACAGCCTCCTAATGGCTTGGCATTCAACTTCCTGAATTGCCCTATTAAAGTATCCGTTCCATAACGATCACTCCGAAAAATACATGGAAGCAAAACTATCCGTCTCTGCATTTTTAACTGACTAATGATATTCCTCTATATTAAAAATAACTATTCTCTTAGAAGAAATGTATTCAGAAAATATCCTTCAGTCCATATTCTGACTGAAAATCAACTTTATGCCATGGATAAATAGTTGGGAAAATGCTGGAATATGGAATTCTTACATTTGTTCCTTGCTGCTGCATTGAACAGGCTTTTTTCACATTTCATTTATAACGTCAAATAAATATATTTCTCTTCCCTACTGCCATTATGCAGGTCATTAACTGCTGACCATAATGGTATACACATCGGAGGCCGTCCGATGGATGGGTGCCCGGAGGGGGGAGTGCTATCTCCTCTGCTGTGGTGCCCCGTAGTGGATGAGCTCCTAGAAGAACTGATGGCACAAGGCTTCCTGGTGTATGGATACACCGATGACGTGGCCATTATCACTAGGAGTGAGTTCCTCTGTGTGCTGGGAGATAGACTGAACTCTTCTCTAAGAACAATGGTGGATTGGTGTAGGAGGACGAAACTCTCAGTTAAGCCTGAGAAGATGTCAGCTATGATCTTCACCAGGAAATACAAAGTGATAAACCCAGAGCCGTTGAGGATAGCGGGTGCAGAGGTTGCCTATGCTATCTCACAGAGGCACCTGGGTGTCCAGCTGGATGCTAAACACCACTGGAGGGAACACATTGAGACGCGGATGGGCAAAACTTACGCCTCACTATGGGCACGTAGAAAGGCCATGGACAGAGACTGGGGCTTTAGCCCGAAGATCAGTGTATGGCTGTACAAGATGATTCTGCTGCCGCGGCTCATATACGCAGGTGTAGTCTGGTGGCCCAGGGTGAAGAGGGTGGAGATAAGGACCCGGCTCAAATGCCTACAGGGAAAATTCCTGGGGGCAGCGACTGGGCCTATGAAAACGACACTCACGGACGTCCTTGAAATAGCCTTTGACCTGCCTTCACTCGATCTTCTTGTGGTGAGAATGGCAGAATCAACAGCCTATAGACTTCTGTGCCAGGGGGAATGGACTCAAGCGGGCACACGCCAGACTAGAAATCCTTGAGAAAAATCCCTGGAAGTTGAGTCGAGATAAAATGACCAAGAAGTACCAAATTAGGAAGGCATTTAAGACCTATATTTCTGAGAGGGAGAACTGGGAAGCTCTAAAGGAAACACCAGGCAATGTTATGCACTGGTACACAAAACTACAAACGCAGTTAGTCCTTGGGAACAACAGCTGCAGTATTCCAAACGCAAGTTCTGGCAATCGAAAAGTGCTCAGAGCTTCTGGTGTCTCGGATGACAACCAAAAAACATATATTCGTATGGTCAAACAGTCAAGCCGCTATAAAAGCTCTCCTTAAACCCAGTGCTGACTTTAAGTTGGTCTGGGAAACCATGGAGAGCCTGCAGAAACTGGGCACCAACAACAAGGTAACCCTTACCTGGGTCGCACGTAACGAAGACATGCACGGCAACGAAATGGCGGACGGACTGGTGAAGCAAGGGGCAACGATTGCGGACGAGTCTTCGCCCAAACCGTGAGTTAAAGCCACATAGAAACTCCGACGAGAACAATCCAACCGCTGGAAAGACAGCAAGACCTACAGGAAGACAAGGGCAATCATGGCCTCGGCAAGAAAAGATCTAAACACCTACTGGCCATACACAGGGAAAGTTTCACCATCACGATTAGGCTGCTCACAGGACATTGCAGATTTAAAAAACGCTGCAGAGTCATCGGCAGGGACTCTGATGGGCGGTGCAGATTCTGCAATGAAACAAAAGAGGACAGCTTACACATAGTGTGCGACTGTCCGAAATATATTCTCTTCGACTAATAGCGTTCGAAGCTGTTTTGATAAGAAAAAAAAATGTCGGCAAAAATGCACTAGCCGTCGATAATTAACATTAAACTCGCGTAATCAGGTGGTCATCTACCCTGCTATCAGGCAATTCTTGCGAAATGTCAATAGAACATTAAGCGTTCTGATGCCAATATCAGTATCACTCTGGGTTATAGATGGAGTTACATGGATGTGACTAGCATGCTGGGTATAGGAGTATTAAGGTAGTCGAAGAAGTTGGCGGAACTTGAATAAACAACTTTTATATGCACTGATATTAATTAGTGACTAAGCCCAAACATAATACTCTGAGGGTAGAACAACCATTAATTATTAGAATAATATAGTTTACAAGAGTATTAGAATAAAACATTGACGAAACTATTATCATCTTTTTGTCTAGATGCGCATTGGGATTCATACCGGTATGGTGCTCGCTGGAGTTGTGGGAAAAAAAATGCCGAGATACTGCTTGTTCGGACACAACGTTACCATTGCTAATAAGTTCGAGTCCACAAGTGAACCACTCCGAGTTAACATCAGTCCTACAACACAGGAGTAAGAAAAGTTACCTAAATAATTTTCACAATAATTAATTTCTTCCTCACATAGATGGAGAACTCATTTTCAAACAATTCAATTTAATTTTAATCATAACATAACATTGAATTCTCGATTCTATCTACAACGTAAAGTTGTGGTTAGAGATATGCTTATATTATAGTTATATTATAGTTATATTATTTTAGTTAGTTATGTTATATTAGAGTTGACAGTTTGTAAGAAAGTTGAAAAATGATCTACATGCTTTGCCATATTTCTCTCCAAAATTATCTTTTTTATATAAAAAATAATCAACTCCTAATGTTGCGTATGCGATTTCACAGATTCTTAATGCAGAGGGCTGGATTTATATTGGAAGAGAGGACCAAAGATAATTTACCGAAGGAATGGCCGGCAAATACTTCGGGGACCTGTCACTTCCTGAACGATTACAAACACCCAGAGGTCGATAAGAGTGCACCCCTCGACATTCATATTAAAGCGGCCATGAAAGAACTGGAAATCACAGTGTAGATAAAAAATAGAAACGAACAATAGCTATAATTTTCATTGTTGTAGCAAGTCGATATTGAAGTAACACAAATATTCAGATTCATTGAAAGATAAATCATCGATAATGTGCCTGTGAGTATATCGACGATTGAAATACATAATGAATTTACATTTAGTGTATATAATACGTTAGGGCTATTACATTCATTGACGAAGAGTCATTATAACAATGATATTTACTTATACATTCACATTTATTGATAGCATTACCACAAGAGACATATTTAATAATGATCATTGGAAAAAGTCGCTTATGACGCAACTACTAGTTTCTGCCAAATATTTATTATAAATTATTAATTCAAAAAATCATGCTATTATTATTTGTACGAAATAAGTTTGAACAATCATTGTATAAAAATGAACGTAAAGACTTAACAGAACTACTCAAAAGTCTCATGTTATCATTTATTTTCAATTTCAACGTGACCTGTCCTAAGATAAAAAGAGCAAACATCGAGACTATCGGTATTTCGAAGGTCTATCAGACTTATTCCTCATTGGTTCAGTCGTCTGAGGCGGCTAATTTGAATTCGCCACTCATATAATGTTGAAATTTTCAATCATAATTTTTATTATTAGCGCGCTGTAGTGAGCATTCGGTCTCATAATATATAAGGAGAGAGAATTTTTAGTTTTAGAAATGGGTATGAGGAACTCTTTATCAACTAAAATGTTTATTTTTACCGATGACCTCAAGAGTTTTACGAAAACTTCAATTTAAATTTTGGGAAATTAAATAATTTTTCCGAATTTTTCTACACTTTTTAAGGAATAATTTGGATTATATTTGATTTGAAAAATTTAGAATATCAGATGGTGAGTTGAGTTATAGAGTTCAATAACGTAAAATCAATACGCAAGTAATAAAAAACTGAAGAATATATAGAGCCAGTGATCACATTGTTTGGTTCTTCTTTCGTTAATGGAACTAGGGATAATTTCGGGTCTTTTGCATTGTTCACAAGTTTTCTCCATAAAATATACAGTTACGGACAAAAAAGTTCAATAAAAATTGTCCGCAAAAATAGGTTTTTTTGATGAGGCGTTGCGTAACAATTCTTGAATATAATGATTCGTGAAATTCCTGTTAGGTTGTAGTTTTTAGAAGAGTGGCAAATTCTCGATAGCGGATTAAGGGAGGGATTACATGAAATTTTTCGTAATTGTCCTTGAATATTTTTCTCAATGATGAAATCCTCAAGGAAAAGAAAAGTGCGTTAAATTCCGATGCATGTTACATATACGCGCTTCAAATTTTTCATTTCTAAAAATGATATTTTGGATCAATGGAACGTACAATTAACAGACTCCATAGTTTTTTATCGTGAGTGCTATATTATATATATTATCATTAAGCAAATGTGTTTCAACAAAGGAGACTCCTCTTTCTTCAATAAACTAGTTGACATTTCCTCCTTCCTACCGGCCTCAATACAATCCTATGAGAAAGGGAGATAGACAGTTATATCGAAGCAAATCGAATCGAAACTCTCGAAAATTGAAGCCTCAAATCTGTCACACTCTTTCCTCACTGTGGATTCATTGGTTACGACTTATACTTAGTTCCACTCATACTTAACCTTTCATTGGCGCACATGTACTGGAAGGTACACAAAATTTTCTTTCATTAGCGCGTGTCACTGTTCTGTACACGAAATTTCTCATGAAGCATATAAATAACGTCATTTATCTGAATTCAATTCAAAACAAGATTTTTTCACATTTGTCACGTCATCAGTAATAACCAGGAAATTCCATATAAATGTGTTGTGTTTAAACATTCTAAAGTGTTTCTATAAAAATTCATGAGTATTTGTTTAATAGTATATCATAATAGTATAACATAATCTTAGAAATTGATAATTTGCGACAGATGACACATTACCATGCAAGTGTCACCACCGAGCCCATTTGCCAAAGGACTTCATAATACCACCACCAAAATGTCGGCGTGATCTGTCTATTGGGCGGCCTACTCAGTGCATGACCCTAAGATTCTTCGATGCTTTATTAACCATTACTAATTTGTTTATTCACTTGATTCATAGACCATTCGTCTGTTTTTCAGATTGATAAATTTTTACGTCACGTTCACTATGTCCATTTGTGGAAAATATTTTAGGAAGCTAGGGCAATCATAACAATTTCGGAACGTTGAGAATTTCGCGATTTGTTCCTTTTTTAGAACTCGCATATGCGTGAAACGATCCGGATATCACTTGAGAAGGTGAGGGAAGTTGTTTTTCAATGTTTGTACGCGATAAATAAATGTTTCAGAGCTTATAATAGTTATGGCGCGTAGTTTCCGATTCATTGACCAATATACTATTGGATTGGGGACTACCAGAACATCTTATGGGTAGGAGTTCTTCTTTTGGAAGTCGATTAGACGCCATGGAAGGAGCTCAGAAGGCCTCTCCATCACGCGGAAAGGTAAGGGAATTTTGATAATTTTATCGTAATAACACCGGTTGCTGGAGACCCGCCATTTTCGGTTCTTGAGTGTTAATAATCCCGTTCGATCATCGGATTGGGCCGTCCACATGAAGGTTTCGGGTGGGTTATCACAAAAACAGTAGTGGCAAAATTCAGGAGAAACCGTCGCAAAAAAAGGAAAGGTTGCGATTTTTCGTGGATGGCCTCGAGTATTTCCTCCACTCCGCTCCGCTCAACGTTGAGCGAGAACTCCGGCCCATTAGTGCTGGAAATTCCGTTTTCGAAAGCGGAGATATCCCAGTCCCCATACGTGGTGGAAATCCCGAATTCTGGGAGAATGTTCGCGAATTATCCCTCTCGAAAGTGGAGTTCGTCCGATACCGACCGGATGAGCCGTTCGAAGCCGGCAAAAATAAAGCGAAAGATTACTCTCAGAGTCCTTAAGACTCTCGCCGAGAGTTTTCTCGGTGCTATTTCTCACGTAGTTAATTATTTTGAGGGTCAGTGATTTTGAGATCATGATGTAATTATTATAATTTTTTAAATATTTTATGATTCTTACCAAATTGCTTTACTATTATATTATAGGGAAAATCTCGAATCTTCCTAGAGGCCTGTGGAACCTAACCGGGGTGCTTCCTTCGTTTTTTGCGGAAAATTATCTACCGCCTCGGCTGGTATAACGCACAACGTTAACCTCGATTAATGGGGAAAATTCCGACCAGTTTTTTGTTTGGGTAAGTCAGTATTGAATTAGGACATTATATGAGGAGTCTGGTGGACTTTGCCTACCGCTTCTGTTACTCATAAAAATCAGAGGATTTTCAGGCCGTTCATAGAGTGTTATTATGTTTTTTTTAAGAACATTTTAGCCCTTAACCCCGAATCCACCTGTCTTAATACAACCTAGCATACTGAGGCGCGCAGGCGTCCGTAACCTCTCCGTTAACCCCTTCGCTGAACTAGATTTAAGCACGTTTTAGAGTTCCCTTTCTAGTTTAACTTTAGTGTTAAGGTTCGAGTTGCTGATTCCTTGAATTAAGAAAATTTGTGAATATCGTTCTCACTCCTCCCTAAAATTTTAATTTATTGAACTAGCCCGGATTTGTCGATTCACCGATATTTTTTCAATAAACTGGCGCCGATAAAAATAGCAATACGAACAACCCGTCCTCACAACGTCTTGATGATTTCATACAGTTACAATAAAGTGAAGTCGATAACATGAATATTTGACGTTTTGCTAAGTTGTTGATAGCTTATGACCTTTTTCTCTATGATGTACCCTATTCTGAAAAATCAAGAAGAATTCTGTTAAATCGTCATTCGATAACTCTATTTATTCATCATCGGATACTTCGGGTATCCTGTTGACGACAGATGGTCAGTCCGGTTTCTGTCGATTTGTAAAAACTTTTGAGAGAATTGGCAGATAAGACAGATAACTTTAAGTAGTAAATTTTCGGGCTATTGGGATGGGGTTTTCTAATCGTGTATAGTTGGTGTTCGAGCTGAAGGCGAGAACTGGCTAACCACGGAAGTGAAGAAATAGTATATTATGCAACATGTGTAGCATATTATTGTGTATTTTTAACTCGATGCCTATGCACGAGGGCAGAAGCGGCACGAGCCGAAGGCGAGTGCCGCCCTCTGCCTGAGTGTATTGCTATCAGGTTGCTACACCAGTAGCATATACTACTTTATATCACAAGTGCGTGAATACTGTTTTATTATATTGCTTATTAAATATTCAAAGAATACAATCATTTGTAATTTTTTCAAAATATATTATAAACTTCCAAATACATATTCTCAATCGAACTTCCCATTCATTTTCAATTAACATGCGAATATTGTTTAATCGATTATTCAAACATTTGAAACAAAACTTAATTAATAAGCAAGATCTTCTCTTTAGTTCTCTTCTTTGGTAATATTAGAAAACAATCTTATTTATCTCATCAAACATACTTCATATTGCAAAATCTCATCAAAGATTCTTTACTGAGTATCTTCTTTTTTACCCATATAAATTCTTAAGTTAGGGCAGTTATTGAAATTGAAATTAATAGTTTTGCTAGAATCAATATTCTTCAACATTTCTGAAATTTCGCAGTTCTCGTTCTTAGCAACAACATAAGTGGTAGACCTTGGAGATTTATCTGAAACTTCATCTTCTTCAGTGTTCTGTGGTAAACGATTCAGAGGTTGAAAGGGATAAGCATTGGGGCAAAGTTGTGAAGAAGTATGTATGACGAAGACAATGTGATGTATAGCGCTCTGGATTGGGCAAATTCAACAATTTTGCAATTTTTTTCGTCATACCGCCAAGTTTATTGATGCCGATTAGCTGTTGAGTGCACTTCCCATTATTATAATTGATGAAAAACTCATCAAGTTTGCACTTTTCAGGTCGAAGTTCCATGTCTTGTTTCATTGTCTCCTAAAATGGCTGGGTAACGACAAACCATCTAGATGTATCAGTTTTAGCTTCATCCAGTTTCACAGGCAAATAATTTCCTTTGTCTGTGACGTCCGTGATACTCAGCTTTTTTAATTCGCATCTTCGACATGCCCCGAACATTGCCAGAATCAAAACCACCTAATGACCAATAAAGGAAATCATTAATTCCTTATATTTATAGACTTATTATATGATTGAGAATGGAAATAATATCAGCACATGTGTCAATCAATGAATAGTACACGAAGTGAAACATTCAGGGGAAATAACGGAACATTTAAGATAAGCCTAGGGTGAAATGTATTTGTGCAAAAAAATACTAAAAATTCGGTAGATACTTCAGTAATACTCAATGAATTCATACATTTACGTCTAAAAATAAATCATCAGGAGCTGTATCCAAAAATTCACTTGTCTGTTCTTCTGTCAGGGCTAGGGTTTGAACACTTTGGAAACCTTTTTTCTCGTTCTTCAAAAATTGAATCAACTGCTTAAATGCATGGATGTTAATGTTGTAATTAGTGCTGATCACACTTTGTAACTTTGAGTGTGTTGCCCACACAGTAGTAGGTTTATATTTTTTATTTACTTTCAATTCTTCAAAATAAGCCAACATAACATCCTGATCGATATTATTAGCAGTTATCTCGTTCTCTGCCATCCAGACCTCTAAAGCCTTGAAAGCACAGATCTACGATTGTTCAGATTTTTTTGGTAGCAAATTTGATCGAACTTTATCGGCAACTCGACGAATATGCAATGGAATTTCCTTGGTTTTGCCAGTTTCCATAGAATTGTCTTCATTGAAGTCTGCTTCAGAAAATTCCGCTTGAAGCAATGCTGCCTCAGTCAAATCATTAAGATCAACTGATGATCCTTTGGTAGATTGTGCTTGTGATGAATTCATTTGATCCTCCTCGTCATTGCTTTGAGTTGAATTGGCGTCTGCCTGCGAGAGCCAGGAACCTTCATTCATAAAAACAGACTCATGTAGCATCAAATCGGCATCACCGTCCATGAGCTCCTCGCAGTTCTCTGTCATTTTTTATAATGAGAATCTTCAATTCATGAGAATTAAAAATAAAATCACTTCGTCGTATTTCACAGGCGTAGATTGACAATCAATAATGGTTTTGGGGTTATGAGTTGTTTGTGGTTGATCACGTTGGACGGTCGTCGAAATTTGTCATGACAGATGGTGGACTATTCCTTCGTGGATTATCCTCATGGATAATATCTAAAAAGTTTGGCAGAACTGAAAATCCTCGATCGTAAGAGACAAAAAATGTATCGTCATAAAGAACGTCGTGAAGAATCGACGAGTTTCCGGCTTGTATGTGAAAGTTATCGGTGCCGTGCAGAATCTTGCATTTCTAGTACCAAAAACAAGGCAAGAATATTGGAATTACACGTACGTGTGATATAAAACCCAATCCAAACAGCCCGGGCAACAGTTTTTCGTAGAGGTTTTCAAGTTTACGAAATATGTGGCATCAATTTCCGGATGAGAAATCATGAGATGCAATTAGAAAATGCAACTAACCCAATTCCTGGTGTTCGGAGAAAATATTCCTCCGTCTCCTGGATTGATGATCTGATAACACAGATAATATAGAAAAGAGAGAAGTCCGAAGTTTCACAGCATTTGCAGATGATGATTATAATCACGAAAACTGCGAGGATCTCTACAAGGTATATATCTTGATGTCTGTGACGATTGATGGCTCGTTCATTTGGTTGGGGATGTTTTCGTCACACTCATTGAATTTCTTGGAATCAATCTGGAGATCCTTGAAATGAATGTGAATGAGATGAATAGGTTTACTGACGTCGGTAGCTCAGTGGCTAGGTGCGAGCCTAGTGTTCTGAAAGTTGTGAGTTCGATTCACCGTTGAATCGCTCGCAGTCTCTATACTCAGGAATCATCTAATTCCATTATTTCATCTATTCCATTCGACTTTCATGATCAATTTGTAATGAATCTTTTTGTTGGAATAATGTAAATCGTCAATAAATAATTCCCGCTGCTCATTCGCCGAATGCTTCAGTTGTCCAGGGTTAATTGATGAGGCTTACGCGATTCATTTTCAGTCAAATTCTTAATTCGTAAAATCTGAATTATCTGTATTAGCTATTTTCGCGGGTTTCATCTGTTTCGAGGTTTTAACAGTTTTCACGAGTTTTATCTGTTTCGATGTTTTTACTATATTTTCTTTAATCGAGATTTTCCGGAATCCAGAGATAAACATTTCTACGACAGGATAAATTTCGGGAGTTGCGGGTTTTCCTTCCGACAATCAGAGCCTATATGAACCGCCCAAAATGAGTTTCTCTCTCTGGATTTATCGAGGTTTTTCTTAATTATCTGTTACTTAATTCATTTCAAATTTTAACTGAAAACTTCATTATCTGTTTCTCTTTAATTAGAGGAAGGAGAATCCCTCAGAACTGGTCTATACGAAGTAGACACTATCGTCATCCTTGAGATTACTCCAACCCATCATGAACTTTATTATTATTCCATAAATTAACATCTTACCACAAATTATTAATGAGCAAAATATTATTAATACTAACATTAAGCAAATTAGCAACAATCTAATTCTTTCCAAATTTTCCATTTAACTCTTTAAACATTTCTGCTGTCTCTCTTTTAAACAATTCTCCATCTCGGGATCGGCTGATTGTCGGAACTTTCCCCCGATTCTCCCTTACGATTTTTCTCAGTGCAGGGTGTGATAATAATTATTATCATGTTTAAATAATTTCTCCCACCCCAAAGTGCAGCTAAACAACGGTTAATTTCGGATCCCTCCCCACTCTACTACAACCAGCAGGTTGCTTGCAAATTACGACTCTACTACTACCAGCAGGTTGCTTACGACTGACTCTACTATAGCCAACAGGCTACTTGCAAATCGTGACTCTACTATAGCCAGCAGGCTACTTGCAACTGACTCGACTATAGCCAACGACTACTTACAATGACTCGACTATAGCCAACAGGCTACTAACAAATTAATTTATTTGTTGGCAGCTCGGATGGAGCCCCCAAAATCGCGAGAATGAACTATAGCAAAAGCTACTTACTAGTCGCGTGCAAAAAGTTTCGCTACGGACAACCGGGGCTGTGCACTCTTCGAGTAGACTCAGGGTATCCGAATATCCGTGCCGCGGGCGGTTTCTTAATACCTTAGCCGCAACATTTCCCTTACGACCGATTCCAGCCATCTAGCGGCGTTCCGGGAGTTATTTATGTAGCGAGAGGTTTTAAACGGCCGCCCCATATAGCGCCGTACTTACTCGTCTTTTCAATCCTTTTTATTAGTATTTCTATTGAATAATTATAATTTAAACTTCGCTGGCTGGTTCCTTACAAATTATACCGACAAAATGGTTGTGACTTTCTCCACACATCACGGTGAGTGTCATTGGCATCTGAAAAATGTAGATCTATATAGATTCTTGACATTCAAGTATTCGCATTTATATTAATTAAAAGCATTGATTATACCCACCAAATGTCGATTCTGAATGAATCATGAAAATCTTATTTGATTCTCCAAATTCCCATAACTCAACCAAAAATTATGAGTAATCAATAAATCGGGTGATATTTTAAAAGAAATTTGATATTCGTTCGAATGAGTATAAAATTTGTGAACCATATTGTCTCATGCAACGGATAAAACCTTTTTGCTTTGAAATCAATGAGAAAACTTCATCACTTGTAAAATCCTCATGTTAATTAAAACCGTAGGCAATGAACAGTCAATATTCACTCGAAAGCAATCAAGAAATTATGAACTCTGAAGTAGAAGCTTCGTGAGAAGTTCAATGAGTTCCGGAGATGGAGAAAAGCAAGATCGGACGGTAAGATGTACTCAAATCTACTGACTTCTAAGGACATTGACTGAACGGAAAAGTTTTAAATCGATAGGCAATCTGTCCGTCGAGAGTTCACTTGACAACCGATTGTGAAGTATATTTTTTCTCATTTGCATTGAATGGGTTTTCCACTTGGCCAAGTGATATGCTCAACAAGTTTGAGGGGAGGCCAATCAGCACAATAATGAAGCAGTTCATTAAAAAAAAATAGTTTGTACTAGCGAGTAACTTAATCAATACATCATTAGCTAGTAGCGAAACATAATGATCTAACGAAAGTCGAAAATAGGACCGATTTATGATATAAGGGTTGGTGCAAAGTCAAAATTGGTATTTTTGATCGGCCTATAATAATGATAACTCAACTATGTTAAAGCGAAATAATAATGATAGGTAGTAAAGGAATCCAGCAAATCTGTAGTTTAAGTCAGTTTTAGATCCCTACCTTGGATCAGTTGGCTCAAGCAACTCCCGAGCGCGGTTACTGAAAGCTGGGACAGGAGCCTTGTCCACTTAACGAAGCTACCTGCTCTAATTCGATTTTTCTCTCTCTTTGGGTCCTGGTTCGACCGATACCCGGAGAGAGCGAACATGCGATCGAGAGATTATTTTAAATTGTCCATCAATTTGAAATATTAACATCAATTTTTCATTCGAAATAGGCAGTATTAGCAATAGCAGCAGCAATATTATGAATTTTTCAAAAATGTTTTCGAGGTAAGCAATCACCCTTTTGCATCATTGTATGTACAAATGATATTTTCAGAATATCAATAAATGAAATGAAATAATTATACAAAATGTGATGTGGAGCGATAACTTGATCCGATAATTTGAAGCAAACAGCTCGTGGGTGAATAGTCGTGGTGGAGAAAATCAATACAAAGATCATAAGAATTCCAAAGACTCCTGATGAAAATAGAGCTGGTAAAATATTAGCTCACCAAGACTGAGTGATTGGTGCCGGGCCCCGGCTTGATTTCATCCTTTTCTTAGACGCGATTCGTTAACGCAATAACAAGGCGCTTTTCGTATCGTATTCTACATCACTACATGTTGATACTCTTAATGGGTTGGAAATACTTTTTGCATTAGCGGGCCCAGTGCCCCTCAAGGACGGTGTGATCTCCAAAACAATCCGCACGATTTTCTAATCTACTAAAGTACAACTCCACCGATTTAACCTTCACCATTGGTCCTAAACAATGCACATGGCATCTTAAAAATCGACGGTTTATGGACTAGCATTCATTCTACATCCTCGCATCGTCCTATCGCGAACGCCGGGGGGGAATTATGTAATTACGGATGATTAATGAAAAAAACATGGAGAAAAAAAAAGAAAAACAATAACCACTTATCTTCATTGAGAGCTCAGTAAAAAAGAAAAATCTCCCTAAAAAAAATGAAGAAAAAAAAAAATAAACAAACAATGACGCGACTAGTAAATGACTGATTTAAACTATTTTTGTTCTTCTTTTCGAGTTAAACTCTAGGGGCCCTAGACAATAAGACGATGTAATATTTATAAACGTACAGTGAACACTCTGTCGTGATGGTGTTTCCATCCAATAAAAATAATGGCAATTGGATCTAGTGAAGAGAGTGTCAAGTATTCATCATGAGTCTGATAATTCAAAGAGAAATAGGGTAATAATAATAATTAATAAATGAGAGCTCGGTCTCGTGCATCTAGCGTCAGCGAGCAAATAACCCACCAGAATGGTCAGCGTACTCGGTGAGAAGTGGTGATGCTGCAAGTGCTGCGTAGTTTGCGTAGTCTGCATATGGGGTGTAGATGAGACCATGTGGATCACCAGCTGACAGCAATGAGCCTGGTGGGCCTGAGCCATTCAGCAGAGAGGCTGCTGTTGTTGGAACGGATATCCTTGGCGAGAGTATCAGTGGTGCACCAAGGGGTGCATTCTGAGTTCTCATCTGCGTACCGAGACCTGGGAGCAGACGCTGGGTCTCAGCTGCTGCTGCTGCTACACGCCTCCATTCCTCATCGCAGGCTGCAATGTCGAACGCTACGATCATTCGTCAGATTTTTAGTCTTGTCAGGGGAGTGGAACCATTTATTTAAAGCTAATATCCTTTATATTTATTTCCATTATTAAAGCATAAGCTAACCAGCACTATTTTAATTTTATTATTTAGAGATTATTCAATGAAAAATTTTACTGACCAAAAACTAAATAGTGGCCATGTACGGAATGAATTAGATGTGAAAAGAACTCAAAGATAAAATGTCTAGAGCGACACTATTTTGCCAGCAATACATTAGCCCAAAAATCCAATGGAGATTTCATTGTATATGGCATAATTAAAGCATACATAATAATTCCGAAAAAAAATCCAACCCAGAAACGAAAAGATTAAACAAGTTAATTGACTTGTTTTCATGATTCATATTATCTCTCGTGGTAATATTCATCGGCACATGCCTTAACACCCGAGGATAGTTCTCAGGCGATAAGCAACATCTTCATAGAAAATAACTATTGTTCTTGGGCAATTGTTATAGCTCATATGTTTTAACGTGCGGTCAGACCCGAGACACTTTATCCTTTCACATAGATAGGTCTCATTGGAATCACGAGACTTTTTATCTTCCATATAATCAACATGCATTAACCAACCTCACTCGAGTTTAAAACAAGGTGACTCCCCCATATTGTTAATGATCTTACGAAATTTTTCAATTACAAATTTCGCTCATGTATACCTATAATTATGAGGTTATAGTTCATAGATGACATAAATTTACCTGCTGCAGCAGCAACTTTTAAGAGGCTGAGGCTGAAACCACTCACTCGCACCTTAGACAGGTCTAAATAGTGGAAAACTTGAAAAATTGTTGGTAGTTTAACTTTGAAAAAAAAAAGACTTTTCTCGCATTCCCGAACCTCATCCTCTCCTCACATCGTTAATAAGCAGTCAATATTGTCCTCGCCAAAAGATATGGTAAAAAACAGGCCTAGAACAACCATTACATTTCTGAACGCAAAAAACCTTCCGTTTAACAAATCTAAATGTGTACATCTCATGACAAACACATCGAGTTAGGCCTGGCGGAGGCTCATCGCAGCCCTTGGTAAAAGCGGCGACTTGATTGTCATTCAACAAATAATATTACTTATTTCTTAGGTTACGTATCTACCGGAGCATCGGAAATATGGTTTTTAATTGTTCAAGTAAAGAAACCAAATCTCACATTTTCAGGTCCTAGTATATTGGAATGTGTAATATTCGAATGGAATTCCAAACGGCCAAGTGAGTACACGAAGAGAAAAATTTCCGAAAAATTTCACAGTTAGGCACTTTCTCACTACACTTTCAGGAATAAGTATGGTACGCTCAAGAAAAAAATAGAGAATGTTCCGTGAAAAAGTGCGTAACTCTTTCGTCATCTTTACTGAACACTGTTTTCACTGACAGATTATGGAATAAGCGCATCATTTCTGTAATTCCTTTCTCCTTAGGTGTTGGACTCTTTAGGGACTCTGGCTCAGGACTCAATCGAGAGTCTCTAATTTTCGCAATCTCCTTCTCCTCCAGTGGAGTTTCTGGAGACCCTGGTTCAAGACTTGCAGTTTCAAGCAAGAGTCTACAAGTTTCAAAATCCTAGTTTTCTCGGGTGCTGGACTTCCTGGAGATTCTGGCTCTAGACTTTCAGAAGAGTCTGCAGTCTCAGCCTCCTCAGATGCTGGATTCTCTGGAGATTCTAGTTATGGTCTCTGGAGAGTCTAAGATAGTTATTATGTCTTTCTCCCCAACTGCTGGACCTTCTCTTTTATCCGGTTGGATAGTTGAGTTCGGTGCTGTTATCAGAATACTATCCGAGGAATCGTGAATGTTTTCAAGCACATCAGTCATGGACACAGGACTTGACTATGTAGAAGCATTCCAATCATCATCAGCACCACTATTCCATGCTATTATAGAAAAATGCAGAACTGCAAATGAATTTTCTATGGAACTTGCAATGAGTCGATCGACTCAATGGCACTCAATGTTAAATCGCCCTTCATTCTCTCCGAAATTCCCAATTTTTGAGCAGCAATTGACGCGTTGTTATTTTTTTCGATTCTAGAATTATTGTTGGTAATGATTTCCTAATTACTGTTATTGTTATCAACTATTCCATGTTAAATACATGCCATCGTTATAAATACAGGAGTTATCTATCCACAGTCATGTTTGTGATTTACAATTGATAATTGAAAAATTGTTTCCTATTCCTTCCAAGTTATTACTAGTCATAACTGTAAATTATTGAACTTTTGACAATTGAAAACCATTTCTTTATCATCATTTTATGGACGTTAGACTTAAAATGTCTTCAAGTTATCGGATAAAGTTGTCACTCCATCACAGAATTCTGGAAAAATATTTGATTTCATTTATTGAACTGCTGCAAATATCGTTTGGACATAAAATAATCATTAAGAGAGATTCCTTATCACAAAGACATTGAAAAAAAAATTCCCTAATACCGTGGCCTATTTTAAATGAAAAATCGATATTGATACTTCAAATTGATGGAAAGTCTACAACTCTCACTAGATGAGATAGTCGTCCTCTGCCGGTATCAGTCGAACCAGGACTTAAGAAGGGAGAAAACTTCAATTAGAGCGGGTAGCTCCGTTGAGTGGATAAGGCTTCTGTCCCAGCTCTTGCTAACGAAGCTCCCGAACTGGTTGAGCCAAATGAGCCGAGATTGCCGAGCTCTTCATCCATCACTCGTTACAACAGGCTTTCATTGACCTATTGTTACTCTACACCAAAAGTCGGGAGCACGATTTACTCTCTGAGCAGAAGTGGTCTGGCCCTGGGTTGGCGGATATTGCATATCGATACTTCCAGTCATTAAAACTAGCCTTTCGAAGCATCTTCACGCATCACATACGGTTTTATGTATACGATAGTACGTACACAAATTTTTATTTTAAATCGATTCCATGTGCACGATTTTTATGCAAAACGTTAGTTTTTATTGCGATTGTACATTTTTTTGAACAGACGTCATTTTATGTGAACTCTGAAAAATAACAGTATGGACAACTTACTAGGGCAAAATTTTGTGAACAAATCTCTTATGCACGTTAAAACATCAAATGTGCATATTTAATTTGATTTTTAGAACTGTGCACAAAGATAACTGTGTACAATTTTTATATAGATGACTGATACCCTGTCAAAACGACGATTTATTGGCTTAAAAACATCATGTGGTAAATTTCAATTGATAAAAAAAATTTCAAAATATGTTCGAAAACTAAGGTTTTGTCGGCGCGTAAAGCGAAGCTTTTAGTCCATTCTGAAAACTATGAAAGGAGTTTTCCAACAACAATATTGCTAAAGTACGTGTCTCTCCTTAAGGTGATGAGCTGTTGCGTGATATTGGTTACTGAATAATTTATTTAGAATTCCTTAAATTCTTTCATATTTTGAAATGTCCAATGCTTGGAAATGCACCAAGGCTTTGGGGACAACAATACCCCCACCAGTCTCGTCGTGACTCTAGATAACGGAAAGATCGGTGTATTAAAATTCACATCTTCGAACTTATTTGTTTCCTTCACAAACAGTCTTGAGGCAGTAAATCAGGTGATTCAAACCTGACTTTTGCACTATCGGATTTCCTCATTGCCTTGATGGACCTTTATTAGACGTTTACCGGGAATCATCTCCATTGTATATGGAATGTGTTCTAATCAAATTGAGTAAAGAGGAATACCAGATTGCCTGGAGACACTTCCACGTGAAAATTTTGCGCAGTACGATTGACCTGGGGTTCTCAATCAGAATGTGACCACTTCCTGGACAAAACGCTGCACAAAAATGAAAACCGGGGTATTCAGATATTGTACTTCACGCGTTGAATTCACCGTAGTACCCTGAGTTTTCACAAGAATTGTACTTAGATGCCACTTGTTGGTCACCAAGTATTCAAGTTAGTCGTTGGACTCCAGAAATGGAAAATTATGATTATGACAAATACTTGGATTCAACAATAGAAGACCTTTCACTTTTTAAAAAGAGGCGGTAAGAAAAAAAGTGTCAAACAAGCAAAAGGAAGGTATCTCAATAAAACGACAAAAGAACTACGCTACTTTAAAGCCAGGGTTCGGAGGGAAGAAAAGAATTAGTAGATTAGAAAATCTTACCAATTAGACATTCGATAATCCGTGTTGATACCTCCTTTTAATTGTTTTCCGAAAAACGAACCAAATCTGAATTCTTCTACCCTTAACTATAGGAAAAAATGGATTCTAAATATGTCGGAACCTTAAATATAATTCAATTTAATTTCATGAATCCCGTCAGGACCTAAAAACACTAATTTTCTGTACTTGGGTATATGTACAGAATCTTCGGCTCCCTTTTCTCTCTGGAGATATATAATTTTTATAATCTATACAAATGGGGTTAAATTCAATCCAAGATGTAATAAATTACTCCGAACCTCACCAGCACTTAGTGTTGCCCAAGGTTTGCGATGCACGGAGAGAAGTATTGAAGAACAGTTACGGGACATTTCACTTAATCGGCAAGCGGAAGCAGTTTTAGGTGAATTTCTATAGAAATACAAGAAAAAAATCTGAAACATTTACTAATTTTTCGCGTCTATCACTGGAAACGTACCCAAAAGTTGTCATTTTTCTGACAACTAAAATCTAACAGGGATTTTGCAAATCGTTATTGGCAAGAATTTTCACGTAACGTTTCCATTGGGCTTCTCTCTCTAATTTGGTTTTGGGATATTCGCCGTCTCAATTTCGGTTTTTTGAACGTGTTGGAATTTGAGTATCGAAATAACGAAATACGAATACATGAAGTAGAAACCGAATTCACGGACATGCTTTGATAAATGGTAATGAACCCCTTCGAATGAATTTTTCCGACCCTTGAATTCTCTTCATCAGCAGTGTTAAAATAAACGTAAACATTCCCTGAGGTTATTGTCAGGATTGTAAAGCATCCGAAACATTACAAAGAAATTCAGACCACGAGAAAACCTAGTGTACCCTGCGCATAAACGTTGCAGTTTTTTTTTCATTTCCTTACCGAGATATATTATACGCTATTGGGGATTGGTATACACACACAAGGGGCATTCACCTTTCCTTCACGGATGCCCGTGGCAAGAAAAGAAATTAAACATTAATAGCCGCAGGGTGCTGTGGGTCGTAATCAAACGGCCAAAGCAAATAGACCGTAATACCTATAGGCTTGTAGAACAAAAATCTCACGAAAAGCTCGAGTAAAAGAAACGGAGTAATAAGTTAGAATCTCCGCACCAAATAATTCTTTCTTTCTATAGAAAGAAATCAGAACGTTGGATAAGTAAAGGATAACTATTTGGTGGGGAAATTCTGACTTATTATACCGTTCCTTTCACTCGAGCTTTTACTGTAGTAACGAGAAAATTTATAAATAACCAGAGTTTGAGAGAGTTGAGTAACGCTTTGAACATATAGATTAGGTAGGCCCATGAAGAAAACTAATTTCAGTATTGTGGTTAAGGCGAATTGATGGTGCATAGAATAAACAGCTGTTTTTTTCACATTGATTCGCAGATTTTTAATGATAAAGGTGTACCTGAAAACGGTTCTGAATTTCTGATCCAATATGTTAAGAAGAAAATACGAAAATTTCACAATTATTTCACTAGCAGATCTTCAGTAGAAATCAACAAAATAATACTTATATTTTTCAGCATTTTTGAATTCGTTATTATTATTAATATCGAAAATCGATATTTTTAAAAGTTGATTTTTCCATTAACTTATCGTTCACGTATTTCTCTAATGAAAGCTCTAAATATGTTTTCTCAAAAACTTTTGATGAAACTTCTCGAAATTTATCAACTACCGACATTGACTGCCGTTTATTATATTCATCTTTTATGAGTAAGTTGTTAACAAGTGCTACACTCCTTTCAGCAAAATCATTTATAACGTGGAGAGACTTAACAATTTCGAAAGCCGATGCAAATTCGTCTACGTCTTTCCATGTTATCGGGTCACTATCTAGGAAGGTACTATTGATTTTTTAAATTTCAAAAAATTTCATGGAACTTAGACATACAGAGGAATCTATGGTTAATTTTGGAACGGATGTCCAATCTTCAATTTTTACTCTATCGTTTCTATTTCTGTGAAGAGCTGCACGAAATGTGATAGCTTCACATATCAGTCTATTATAGCAGTACTCACATTTTTATGAAACTAACCAGAGCGATTACCTCCTCTGATAAATACCCAAGATGAATCATAAAATTATCTAGTACAGCTTTCCAGACCTTTGATGAAGCAGGATTCGAACCACTAGCAAGTGCTGCGAGTTGTTTCAACAAATTTAAATCGTTGTTTAGAGGTGTAACATGATTTGAAACCGTGATCCAAGCTGTTTGGTATAAACGCATAATGAAAATACACGCTTCTATTGGATCGGATTTTTCGTTAAATATCAAATGAAAGTGATCTATAAACAAAAAAATTTAAGAGAATAAATCGCTTTAGCTACCTATCTAGGATGATGAATGGAATCCATACCTCGGAAACGATTGCCTCTCTTCGAATTTACACCCAGAAATATCAC